AACGCAGACACCGAGTGATGCACCCGCCTATACCACACCACTCTCACTGACCCTCCCTCCCTCCCTCCCTCCCTGGCTGGCTCACCTCCCATGGATATGGGCACGATGCGCTCCCGCCCCTGCCCGTCGGTGAACCGGATCAGGAAACCGCCGCCACCACCTCCTCCACCTCCACCGCCCCGGCCGCCCATACCAGGAGGACCACCAGGACCACCAGGACCACTGGGAGGTCCCCCGCCCCCGCCGCCCCTGTTGCCGCGGCCCCTGCTGCCCCTGCCACGGCCCCGTGGCACTCCCACGCCCAGCAGCTGTCTGAGCAGAGGAGGGAGGCCGCCGGAGGCGTCGGCCAGCGGAGAATCCTCCTCGGCCTCGTCATCGGCGTCGTCGGAACTCGCGGCTTGCTTCTGAATGATTGTGGGTGGGGTCGGGTGGGAGAGAAAAAGGGCGGCATGGCAGTGAGAGTGGATGTGATGTCTATCAGGTGTGGTGGGTGACACGGCAGTCCGTGGTGATCTATATACCGTTTTGATCTCCTCGTGGAGTTCCTTGAGCTCCCGCCGCGACTCGGGCTTCTGCATGCGCTCATCCAACGTGAGAAACGTCTGATTGATACACACAACATACAAACAACACAACGAACCAGCCCCAGTCAGTGTGGTCGCGAGCGATACGCCAATCAGTTCCTCTCAGTCAGTCAGCCCTCTCACCCTGGCTAGTGCTGCCTTGACCGCTCGGACGTCCTCCGGATGACTGCACACACGCATAGAAGCACATGTGCAGGGGGCCGCGGCGCGTCATGTGCGCGTGTTCTGTTTACGCGTCAGCGGCCGATGGGTCTTGATCGGCATTTCGTGGAGCCGACTGCAGCTGCTCCTTCAACACGTCACACAGATGCTTCGCAACCCAATTCGACACGGCATGGCCACCGTGACCTGATTGATGGATGATGCACACACACACACAGAGGTCACATAACCAGCAGGCATCGACCAGAATGCCCGTGGCCTGGCCCATGGCGCCCGCTCCGCTCACCATCAAAAACGCCATAGACAGCCGCGGTGTCCGCAAAGTCAGGCTTGGCGAGGTGGGCGTCCTCCATTGTCTGACGCCACCCTTGCCTGAGTGAGAATACGACACACAGCGCACAGCCAACAACACTCACGCACGCGGCCATTAGGTTAGGCATCTCCCGGCGCGTCGGTGGGCTTACATGCTGCTGACTCCGAACCGTGAGACACCGGAGCTGAGATCCCCTCCATCCTCCGAGTCCTGCACACACACAACACACGCCACACACAACACACGCACCTCCACCTACATGCCATGCCGCCCTGGTGAGGTCGGTCCATGGCTGCCCACCTTGTCGGTGCGCGGCTGGGAAAGGTACGCTCCCATGCTACTGGCAGGCCGTCAACAATGCGCCGCGCGCATCCAAAGACGGTACTCGAGATGAGACAGGGCTCAATCGCCTCAGCTACAATCACGCCGCTTCACGTGGCTCCAGAAAGGCCTGCGATGCTGCGCCTGTGGAGTAGACGACTCCTCGGCGGGTGCGAGCTTCAAATTGCGAGCTTCAAGGGAAGTGCACAGTGGAAGTGCCCTCCCTCAATCGGCCTACTTGTCCATCCTCTCCCTACTCGGCAGTCTGCTTATGAGAGATGAGTTCGAGTCCGTTTCGTCAGGAGGTGACCAAGACAGTCATCAAGCTCAAGCCTCCCAAGGGCCCGCCTGGCAGACGGCCCATTGGCTACAGAGGTACGTACGCAGAATGAATGCTGGACGGATGCCACACGACCGACGCTTTGAGGCCTGCTCTCTGCAACAAAGATCCATGGAGGGAACTACCGGGTGACTGACGCCTTCGTGTGTGTCTGCTCTGTGCTGTGTGGATGTCTGGATATATCAGGTCAGCACATCCATGGCAAGCCGCTGAATGACCCCGTATACCCCACCACAAAGGTGAGAGAAAGACCACTCAACTCGGGCGCGTGCTGATTCCTGTTGCACTGGCATGGTATGCCCTCGCCTCTTGTCCCTTATTGTCGGCTGTACTGCTCAGGTCCCCTGTGCGCTCGTCCCTCGCTTCCCCAACGACTGGCGCAATGGCGGCCGTGCGCTGCTGACGATCGGCATGGCACGGCTGGAGGGCAAGCGGCTGAATCGGCACCAGTACTGCCTCAAGTGGCAGAAGGAGGGCGTGTGCGGCCCCAGGTGCGGGTCGGGCTGCGGCACCTCGCAGTACCGGTGTCTGTGTGCCTGGCGGGTGGCCCCGGTGCCAAAGTACCACCACATCACGCAGATGGACGGCATGCTGATGGAGTTCAAGCGCCATATGCCCACCAAGAAACCCGTCTTCAGCATGCCCAAACGAGTCGCTAAGAGACCCAGGTCTGGTCTGGCAACAGATCAGACAGACAGACCAGCGGAGACCGCCATCAAAGCCACTACACTACACCGCCCTGCCGTGTGTGTCGTGTTTCCACGACAGGTATCGATCTGAGGCCATGTCGTGGGACCCATCAGCCGGCCGCTACGTGTACACCGACCGGCAGCCCATCCACCCCGCCTTCAACCTCATGCCCAACAGAGATGACACCAGATACGACGAGGGCGAGAGTGACGTCGACAGCGAGGACGAGCTCCCCGACGACTCGGGCGATGAGGAATCAGACGACGACGGTCATGTGGGACAGCTAGAGGGGGGCAGGGGGGTGTCTGGGCTGATAGAGGGCCGGGAGAGCCGACATAGGCATGAAAATGATGAGGCCGCGAGGCTTGTTAGGTCAGAAGAGAGTGGAAGGCGGAGAGGGGGGGGTGCGGGATAGGATAGCCTGTGGGGAATTGAATTGTCGCCAGAGAGTCGTGTGGTGTGATGTATCTCTATCAGCTGATTGATGATGCCTTCCTTCCCTGTCTGGCCGAGTGAGTGGTAATATTCTAAGGATCGGCGCGTGCACCGTTTTGTGTGTGTCCAGCCAGACACAGACAGCAACCTGGGAACTTGTGAACAGGTGAATGGACGTCTTGAGGCGCGACAGATTGCAAGTTAACGTCGCAATCGCATTCAGTATTGTGAGTGGCATTCCCGCCACACGAGCAGCGGTCCACACACATGCAATCAACATATGCACACACACACACACACAGATTTCGTCATCTGCAGTAGCCCCCACACCCGCCCCCCGCGCCACCCCCTCTCTGTTTCTGTGCGGCCTGGTTAGAAACCTTGTGCAGCTTCTGCAGCTGAGCCCACTTGGTCTCCATGGCCTTGGCCAAGGCGTGAAACGACTCCCTCTCACTCCCCCAGTCTATCCTCTCGCCCAGCAGCGCCCCCCGCGGCACCACACCTCCACCATCACCACCAGCACGCCCGTCGCCCGATTCCCTCTCCACTCGTGGGCCGGCCGACTTGCCCCTTCGCTGCTGCCCTCTCTCGCCGAATTTGGGGCGTTGTGGCGGGAGGGATGGCGACGTGGCCGGGCGGTCGGCGAGGCGCCTGTCTGCTCGGCGGTTGACCTCGTCGAGGACGACGAGAATCGCCTCTGCTGATGGGTGGTCGGGGCAGAGGGCCACCAGCTGGGTGTTTCTGTCTGCCTCGTCCTGCATCCGACGCAACTGCACACACATAACATACCACAGACAGACATAGACAGACACGAGAGGTGAGGTGTCTCTCTGATGTGTGTGGGGTTAGGTGGGATAGATACCATTGCGTGGAATTCGACGGCCGTTTCGTGCATTTCTCGCTCGAGGGCCGCCACGACCGCACCGATCTCACCCAACATGCGGCCCTGTCACACACATCCTGTGAATCTATGCCCAACACAGATGCTGTGCTGACTGACTGACTGACTGACCTTGATGGGCGGCTCGTCTGCTTTAGGGACCAGCCTGACGGTAGGGTATTTGCCCCTCCTGCTCCCCGCACCGACAAACACAGACGACGGCCGGCGGCCATTCGACACTTCACGCACCTGACCACCCGCCCAGCCCATGCACGCAGCCGTACGACCAGAGTCACACGTGACCGTGTGTGTGTGCTTATGTGATGTGCCTGTGGGTGTCTGTCGCTGATGTCATTATGTCATGTGGGTTACTTACGTGTGCCTTGAAGAAGGGCGTGGGGTTGTAGAAGAGGTCGATCGACGTCTCCAGCACGTCACTCACCAACTTGAGCAGCTGGCACCTGCAGGCATTTCATGGCATGGCATGGACCAGACGCTTGACCCTTTGCCTTTGTCGGTGTCCTGTGAGTGTAGGCATTGATTGGTTCACCGACTGACCGTTCCCTGATGCAAGCGTGCAGGGTCTGTGTGAGCTCTTTACAGCGGACTTGTGTCAGCCTGTGGGACTCGGACATCTCAGAATTGAACCGCTCTGCGTCCTGACAGACAGGAACACCCATACCCGCAACCACACACACATGGCGAGTGATGCATTCATTGCGCGTCATGGTCTTCTGTCTGTCTGTCTGTCTGGCTCACCTCCACTCGCTGCTTGAGCTCCCGAGCGCTCTGCTCCATCCGCAGACGGAACGACTGAACGAACGGCCCAGATAACAGACACACATGGTTGTGGCTCCAAGGGCGTGCGGTGCAGTGCGCTGGGTGTTGCCTGACTGACTGACCCGCCTCACCGACCTTCTGTTCCCTCTCCATGTATTGGTTCCTCTCCCGCAGGTCGCCCCGCTCACTCTCCGCCTGGTGCAGCCGAGCACGCAACTGCACCGACAAGGCAAAGATGCAACACAGGAGCGGCAGGCACCTTATTGTTTGTGCATGGCTCCCCCCAGCGCTTTGTCACCGACCGACCGACCGACCTCGTCGATTTCCGCGGCCATGTGTCGCTTCTCCTCCTGGCACTCACTGAGCGCCGATTGGGTGCGGTCCAGGGTGTTCGACAGCTGGGAGTTCTCACCGGCCAGACGGTCACACTCCTGACACACCACACAATGCAGTCAGTGCAGGCAGCCAGGCGCGCAAGCGGATGGATGTGTAGGATGGATGCATTGCAATGCATAGGCCCCAAACTCGGCTGACTGACTCCCAAAAGGGAGGCCATGGACGCAGGCACGGACCTTGGTGAGTTTGCCGGTGAGCCTCTCCCTCTCGTCCTGTATCGCGCGAATGGTCTCCTGCGCCTTTCGCAGCGCACGCACACACGCTGGTCACACAAAACATAGAACAGTAACCCGATGACCCACATCGCCATCACCGCCTGCCATGCCCACATCTCTCTCCATCCACTCCACTCCCCTCAGGTACCTGTGTCAGCCCGTCGCACATTCTCAGCCCTCGACGGCAGCACGGCCAGCGCACTCCCCGGCGACGCCCTCTCCGCAACTGGTGGCGTCAGGGGCGGCAGCGGCAACGAACGCGTTTCGGCTGCAGCAGCTGCAGTAGGCCCTCCGCCTCCCACTGCAGAGGCAGGGCCATTCATGATGCTGTTGGCGCCCTCGGGGAGGCGGCGGGGGCTGTCCAGGCTCTCGAGCAGCTGGATTTCTTGCAAAGCCGCGTCCAGCCGGGCGTCGACGTCGAACGATGAACGCGCAGGACGACTCGCCATCCTCGTCTCACTCACCGTCTCAATGAATGATGAACAAACTGCCGATTTCGCTGATTGATGCCCTGCCGGAAGCCGTTGGCGCGTGGGCAAGGACAGGGAAGGAAAAGACTGGAGCACAAAAGAGAAGCTCGCAAAAGCTCTAAGCTCGCATTCCGATCTCGAACACTCAAGCCACGAAAGGGCAAGATCTCCCTTCCTGCAGGGAGCGAGATCTCGCGAGCAGCCCGCCCGGCACACCGCCTGCCGTCCGTCCCTCTTTCCACCAACCACCGGCTGCGTGAGCTCCTGAGGTGAGCTGTTGGTGGTCTACTCCACAGAGAGAGGAGGATGGACAAGTACCGTCGAGTTGACAAGGAGCCCGAGCCCGCCAAGGAGGGCGAGATCCGCGTGTCGACCAACGGGCGTGTCATCAACTACGTGTCGTACGCCAGCAAGGTGCTCAGCGAGCGGGAGAAACGAGAGCTCGTCATCAAGGCCACCGGCAACGCCATACACCAGGTAACTCAGATGGGGCGGGGAGACATCGAAAGCACCGAGTATGTCGGCACACTGTGGCGTGATTCGCATCTCTCTCTGCAATGCACTCCATGTGTGTGGTGGACGTGTGTGTGCAGGCGGTGACGTTGGTTGAGATCCTGAAGCGCCGTGTGCATGGGATCCACCAGCTCAACAAGTGCGGGACGCTGGCCATCACGGACGAGTACCTGCCCCTCGAGGAGGGACTCGACAAGGTCCTCCACACGCGCAACGTCTCATTCATCGAAATCACGGTCAGTCAACACACACACACACACACACACGCGCACACACACACACCACACACACACACCCCTCTTAACCAAGGGCTCAACAGCCGCATAAGTGTGTGTGTGGTGTGTGGCTGTGTGTGCATTGCATTGCACTGCATTGCAGGTGAGTTTGGATCCGCTCAAGACCGACGACCCCGGCTACCAGGCGCCCCTGTCCGACGACATGGTCAAGGAGTACACCAACGGAGAATACAGAGGACGCGGCAGAGGACGTACGCAACAAAACAACACACCACAGTCACCCTTCCTACCATTCGCTCCCTGGTGTGTTTGCCATGCCAGGAGGTTTCCGCGGCGGATATCGCGGCGGTTTCCGTCCGTATCGCGGGCGTGGTGGCTTCTACGACGAGGGCTACGGCTACGGACCCTCGGGCGGGGGCGGCTTCAGAGGCGGGGGGTACAGACCACGGTAAGAGAGAAGAGCACGCCACACATTGCCACCAGCCCCTCCAGCATGTCTGTCTGTGTTGATCTTGATGTCTGTCAGTGGTCGTGGTCGCGGTGGCGGGTTCTACGATCACGATGAGGGCGGCGACGAGGAGGTGCACAACTACCGTGGCGGACGGGGCGGCCGCGGCCGCGGGCGGGGCCGGGGCGGCGGCTACAGGGGCAGGGGAGGGGGCTATGGCGGCGGCGATGAAGGGGGCTACCACAACAACTACGGCGAGATGAACGGATATGGCGGCGATGAGGGCGGCGGCGGACCCAGAGGACGGTAAGACAATACACCAAAGAATACAGCTGACGAGAAACTGACACATGTGCTCTCTTGTGTGGTGTTGTGTGTCAGTGGTCGTGGACGCGGTCGGGGCGGTCGCGGTCGTGGTCGGGGCCGGTTCGCACCGAGAGGGGGAGGAGGGGCCGCCGAATAACTAAACAAACCACACCACACCACACACACGGCGACACCGACCGACCGACCCACGAGCCACACACATGGATGGATGGATGGATGGGGGCTGGGGCTGGGGGCTGCATGTGTGTGTTCGTGATCTGATCTGAGTGACTGGCTCGCGGGGGCGGGGGGGTACACAGACAGAGGCGTGCGTGTTGTGTCGTTGCGCACCCCTCTTTTTCGGCTCTGCTCGATGGATGGAGGACAGACACATGGATGGACACATGGATGGACGGACGGATGGATGGATGGATGGATGGGAACGACGACTCACTGGCGTATGTATTTCCTTCCTTCCTTGCCCTTCCTCCTTGTTGCTGCGTACGTACTCACCTTGTGTGTGTTCGTGCCATCGTGTCTGTCTGCGTGGATCGTGCGTGTCTGTCTGTATGTTTGTCTGTTGTACGTGTGCGTATGTATTTGTTGAGTCGATCGATCGAGGCGGTCAGTCATCGTTTTCCTTTTTCCCCCGGTACATATGGATGGCCATAGATAGCATACTTACTGCCTGCTTGTTGGTTTTTCCATCGTGGTTCTTTCCTCCTCTCGTGTGTGTGTGTGTTATACAATGTATGTGCTGCAGGCCCCTTGTCGTTGCCGTCACTCACTCACTCACCCACTCACGAGGTCTACGAGCACAACCCTCCTCTCCCTTGCCCCTTCTCTTTCTGCATCCCTCCCTGCCCATGGATACGCACCCACAGCCTCACTTGCGCCACACAGACAGACAGACAGACCGACACGGAGAGAGCAGCAAACAAACCGACAGAACAGAGCCTTTTTGCGACGATTCGACTCAATTAGCACCCACCAGATGGATGGATGGACGGAATGACCGACCTACTGACTGTCTTATCTTATGCACACGAAGCGATAGCGATCGGCCGATGGCTGGCCTGGCCTGCTGGGGGGGGTTGGCTTAGACGGAGAGGGCACAGTCGTCTTTTCATCATCACGACAGACACGATCAATTGGTTGGTGTAATTGAGAGGGGGTTGGTGTAATTGAGAGGGGGCAGACAGACAGACCATCACATCAGCGAGCCATTTTTGCAGACAGACTCATGACATGACGGGAAGGAAGGAGTATCTTGTTTTCTCCATGGCTGTGTGCATCCGATGTGTCTGAGATGACTTCATCGCGTGATGCTCTGACGCAGTTGAGATGCATTGCGAGAAAGTGCGAATCGTCTGCGTCGGAGCCTCGTGTGACAGAGCCGCCGGACACACAAGGAAAGCCACACCACCCGATGTGCTACCGTAACCGTTTCTGGCGTGTAGATGTCCATCTCGTCGGTGTCGACGTCTGTCTGGATCATGCCTGCCTGCATCCCTATGCAGACGTTGGCGTCGACGAGATGCGCACATCGACCACACACATGGCACTGATTCGTTGAGCCGTGAGGCCGAGATCGATACGTGATGATGGATGGCCCTCTTGTATGGTGGTCGAGTCGGTCCCCTTCTCTCCCTCCCCTTGGCTGAATGCATGGCATGCTGCCCCTGCCTGCCCCAATGCGTCATCACCACAGACAGTGCATGCGTGTCTCTCCTCCCTCGCAGTTACTACTCTACTACACACTGGCGAGTGGCAGCTACTCAAGTGAGCAGGCGCCACTTGACTTGGACGTGACGTGACATGACGTTTCCTCTCTTTTGCCCATTCATAACACACACAACACCCATAAGCACAGCACAGCACAGCATGAGGGGGCCTCCCTGTCGGTCGACCAGCGAACGAAGTGGCGACCCTGCCCGGGAGGCACTTTTAAGCACTAAATAAGAGAGAGCAGACAGGCGGGCGACAAACGGTGCTGTCTGGGGGGTGTTTTAAGCACAAGTGCGTGTCCATCCCTTCCTTCCTTGCTGCTCTCACGTGATGGATGCCCTGACAAAGGAGCGAGCCCAGCGCATTGCGAAATGGAATGGATGGATGGATGGATTGATTGATGTCTGCGTTGCGGCGGCGGTGTCGGTGTCAGTTAGCGTCTGGCTGCCCTCGTGTCCTTTTTCCCTGATCGTCAGCCAACCAGACCGACACGGACGGCTGCATGACTCGATCGATACTAGTGAGGTGTGAATTAGCTACCTAGCAGTCATTTCTCGACGCGCACACAAGATGCGTTCCAGCGACAGACAGACAGCGAGCCGACACACTGACTTCGTGACGACCGTGTCGGCTCATTGCAGTGAATGCATCCGTGGGATCGGGAATGGCAGACAGGCACTTTGGTGCACACGGAGTGGGCTGATTTTCCTTAGAGCAGTTGAAAAGAGCAGTGTCGGTGATTGAGCAGAGAGAGGCCAAGCAAGCGAGGAAGCGTCGACGGAAAACGACTGAATGCTCGTCAAGTGGAGGAGTGGGTGAGTGTATCTGACTGGATGGACGGCATGGATGGATGGAATCGATACAGACACAGACGGACGAACACTTGCACACCTGCTTTCTTTTCTCCCTCAGGGGATTTGATTGATGCATGGCTTGGCTTGGCATGGGTGTGGTGTGGTGTCTTGATGATGCGATTGATGTGCATGTGTGCGTGCGTGTGTGGTGTGTACAGACAGACTCGTGTGTTGTGTGCCTCCTCGCTGCCGCGATTGTCTCCTCTCGCCTCTTCCTTCTCGTGTTGCCTTGCCTTGCCTTGCCTTGCCCTGCTGCTGTCTGCCTGTGTGTCGGTGTATCTTCTGAGTGTGCGTGTTGTGAGCCATGTGTTGGTTCGTTGTCTGTCGCCCCAGCCATTCGCCTGTTTATAGTTGACTCACTCACTCACTCACTCAGTGGCTGCGTTGCCTTGCCTTCCCCCATCTATTCTGTGCACTCGCTCCGATTCATCCCTGCTGTCCGCATGCGTAAGGACGCATTCATGGAGATGATATCTATCAACTGCTGTGAGTGAGTGGTACCGTGCCGTACATACGTACTATACGTCGTGATGCGCACGAAAGAGCTGCCCGACTGACTGCATGACTGCATGACTGATGAGATTGTCTCATGCGTTCCGCGTCTGAATCAACATGTACATCTCGTTATTCGTAAAGCGATTCGAGAAATCCCTCCTTCCTACCTAGGGTACCCTCCTAGGACATAACATACACACTCACGGCACAGTCTGTATACCGTCCGTCACTTTTTGGCGCTGTCCAGCACCCTCTTGGCCGCTGCCAACTCCTGCAACACACGCACCCACACGCCATTCATTTCATTCACACCATACCTACCAAATCGCTCCAGCCAGCCTCTGTCTGTGTGTGTGCGTGTGTGGCTGACCCGACCCACCCCACTTACCTCTTTGAGTGCTTCCTTGGTGTCGCTCTCGTCGTGTGGTGAGGTCTCGAGTTCCTGCTGCTGTTTCTGGATGGCCTCGACGAGCATCTCTGCTAGCTCTCGCTCGCTCTTCTTCATCATGTCGCTGTAACACGGGCGGCCCTCACGCGGACGCACATCGATGAACCGACCACTGGGGTCGCGGAAACAACCTGCATGGTAGCCACACACAACACACCACACACCACATACCACACCATACACAACACACCCATGGGCGGGCAGATGGTGTCTGGTATGGTGTTAACAGTGCGGCGGTCGGTGGGCGGGGCGCCCCTGTTGCTACCTCACTCACTCACCTCTGTAGTGTGCGATTTCGTAGACTTTGGTGTATCCCTCCACTTGTCGATCTCCACGCGGCGCAGCTTCTGCTTCCGCAGCTCACCGTCGTTGTCAAAATCCTCTGGCGGCCACTCGGGCATCACATACCACCACCTGCACCGCACACACACACCCATAGATATGGTGAGGTTATGTACATGGCGTGGCGCGAGCGGGGCGGTGAAGTTGACTGACCTGCACAGCACTTTGGAGACGAGACCCTGTTTGTGGTACCGTGATGGCTCGCGTGATTCGGCATGGCGAAAAAGAGGCATTGGCCTGCATCGTGTCATGCCGCTGTCGAGCAAGAGCAGCTGCCGTGTAACCGGACACATTGGTGCGCTACGCGTCGCGATGATGCACAGCAGCGACGACCTGGAGGACAGCGACCTGGAGGACTGCGACGAAGAGGATGCTGATGAAGAGATGATGGCGCCCAAGTCGAAGAAGCAGCCCAATGCCAAACCCAAGAGGAAGGCGGGCGGCAAGACGGCGGCAGCGGCAGGCAAGGGCAAGGAGAAGAAGGGCAAGAAGGAACCAGCCGGCGCAAGGGCTTTTGCGGCGGTCCTCCCAAGAAAAAGAAGGCCGCTGCAAAGAAGCGCAAGAAGGGCGACGACAGCAGCGGCGAGGACAGCAGCAGCGATGATGACAGCGGCCTGGAGCAGAGCGCCAAGTGATGATCACTTGGTACGTGATCGATCACTGTAAATGAAAGCGACAAACTGATAGATCTCAAGGAGCGCAACGCAGAAAGAGTACGGACGGATTTGCTTTGCTTGGTACGTAAATGTGTATGAGGGCGGGACTATCATACACATTTACGGGTAGATGAGACAGACAGACAGCAGACAGACATCTTAGCTATCTGCCCCCAGCTGCTAGCGTCGGTCTCTGGCTGCTCTCCATGTACGTACACCACGGCTAGCCTTCCCCTGCTTGCGTCACTCACCTACCTTCCTTTTCTCATCATCCATCTGCGATCTTCCTGTCTCTGAACACACACGCGGGGCAAAAGATCTCCCAGTCAGACGGAAGGTGAAGAATGAAGTTGTGGAACTGTGAGACGCGCACACAAGAAAAGAGACACAGTGAGCGACGGCGCATCCATCAATTGCCCTTCCTGCACTCACCCCGAACGCCTCCGGGACTCCAGGCTTCTCCTCTGCCGCAGCGGCCTCTGCGGCGGCTTTCTTGGCCGCCCACTGCATGCCCTCGTGGGACAGTATCAGCAGCATCAAGTGCCACAAGCTGTCACACGCCTGTAGGAACACGGAAAGGCAGAGTGAGTGGTGGATGGTGGGGTCGGTGACTGACAGGTAGACAGACTGACTTGTATGTCCTTGGCCTCCACTTCCATGTCCATCTTGTCGGCGAGGAATGCGCTCATGGTGGCTGCGTCCATGTAGACGAAGAGGCTTTTCATCGATATCTTCTCGGGCCACGTGTAGTCCAGCATGCACTTGTTCTTACGGCCCCGGACTGGCTGCAGACTCACTCGCACAAAGACACATACATAGAGACACGCGCATCGCACACCGCTCACCTTGAGAAGAGTGGTGCGCGGGTCGTATTCGCTGAGCTTCAGCTTGACTGTCCTGATCAGCTTCTGCACCTGACGCATCTTCGTCCTGATATGATGAGATGCCCCAATCCACAGCTGGCCTGCCTCTGTGTGCATGGTGCATGTCTCAGCCTACACGCGATCCAGGTACTTGCCGACGAACAGCGCAGTCACTTCTGGTCAATCAGTCAAGGGACAAGACCGGCGCGGCGCGTGAGAGCTGTTGACTGACTACTTGGTCGGCTGACCTGCCCAGAATATGTATTTGGGGTCGAGGAAATACATGAGGACAACCACAAGCACCAGACACCAATACACCAGAGAGGTGGCCCTGATCGTGACCACGAACGACATTCTGTGACGGACGAATGGATTGTGTGTCTCGTGTTTCCGTGTCTCACCACTGGAGGCGCCACGAGAGGAGATTCGCGATTTTCTCGACGAGGCACACCATCTGGTGGACGGTGTGCTGCAGCTTCGCGCCCTCCCTCTGGATCTCACTGAATGCAGCCAGCCGTACATCCACGATGTGTGTGCACCGTCGCCAATCAATGAGCTTAGCTGCTTGCCTTGCTCACAAGTAAAGCTGGAAGAGGCTCTTTTCGTTGGCCTTTTTCTTGGCCTCCTCCTCCTCCTTGCGCTTCCTCCGCTCCTCGGCGAACTTCTTCTCCGCCTCGGCACGCTCCTCCAAGGAGGAAAACTTGACGGCCTGCATGTCCCAGACAATGACATACACACGTGTTTCTCTGTCCATGTGTTGCAATGCGTTTCACATTTGACTAAGCGACCGACCGATTCGGCTCTTCCGATAGGGAGTCCGATCCACGTTCTCCGCCTGACCCAGTGCTTCATGCCCTCGTCCTCGCGAGACCAACTGGCAGAATCCCAGTCGTATGCGTAGCTGGACGCAGGCAGACAGACAGAGACAGACAGGTACATATATACGTCCATTCACTGAACTGAATGACCGGTGAGCACTCCACTCCCCCCCTCACCACCAGCCTTCAATGTCGACGCCAGGATGAAGCTCCAGCTGCGTTTGCAAATGCGCGTACATGCCGACATGGACGAGAGAAAAGGCTATCAGCTGGCCGATTGATTCTGGCTGACCTACCTCCCAGTCGTATTCAATGCCGTCTTCCACAGTGAGGGGCACAGGGCGGGTCGTGCCGTCGGGCGTCGACCTGCATCAGACAGGCACCCGTGGCGCAACTCACAGAGATACGTGTGGCGGGCGATGTGGCAATACAGAGCGACCATTTGCCACGTTCAGTCGATCTGAGGTTTGCGGGGCTGTATGTGCCCATGAAGGCCTGCCTCTCGTTCTCGTGCACCCTCTTGGTGTACTTCCTCTTCTCCGAAAACGAAAACACCTCCCCGTCCTTGACGGTGAGGTCCTCCTCCGTCCTCTGGCCCTCGTACTCGATCCCTGCACACGCACATACATATGTATGCCAACGCACAATGACTGACGACTCTCATATATAGCACTCCCACATATATAATCCCTCCCGTGTCGTGCGCTTACGCATTGTGGCTTTGCGTTCGAGTAGGACTTTCTTGTTGTGTTCTCGCCATTTGTTGAGGGTGGGCAGGTTAATCTCTTCCCCGATGAGCCACCCGAACACGTCCTTGTACGCCGGGTGGCAGTTAAGCAGGCCGAAAGGCGCCAGGCCGAGGGCGATGGCAAAGGTCAGCGAAGGGAACGCCAGCAGCCAGAAAGACAGAAACAGCCAAACAGACCTGCCAGATACACACACACACATAAACAGACATCCTCTTTCCTCTGTGTCTCGCTGTCTTGCCATGAGACGGTAGGGTTTTCGAAGTTGAGTATGTCGTTGAGGATGCCGCAGAGCAGCTGGACGCCCTCCAGCATGTGCGTGATGCGGCGGATCTGCAGCTTGAAGATGTTGATGTCCAATGTCGCATCATCAGCTGAGCCAACAAACAAACAAAAGGAAAAAGATCTCCGCCATGCGAGTGAGTCATCTGGTGCTTCATACGCAGTGGCAGCGGGTCGACAGGCCAGAATTTGCCAAGTGGATGGGTGAAGTACAGCATACGAACGCGCAGGATGCCTTCAGCCATCTTGCCGTCCGGCTGGTCACCACACACACACATAGACATACACACACGCATACACACATAGGTCGACTCCCATGTCATTTTCCTCTCCTGCTTGTTACAGTGTAGTTCTCAGGGTAAAGTTCCAGCTCCATGATGTACTCTACTTGGTTCTCAAAGGACGACAGGGTGAGCACGGTCTGACCCAGGAAGTCATGCGCACTCAACTCATCCTCATCTCTACTCGAATCAAACACACACCAACAGCAACGACTTCTCATCTCCTGCCTGTCTTCCACGCATCTTTACTCACTCGCTCACCGCACAACGAGCCTAATTTCGTCATCGGGGTCGTCATGGACGACGGGCAAAGTGACCGTCTCCTTCCACACGGGATCGAGGGTCTGGTAGATGGTGCGCCCCCGCCACACCACAGGGCCAGGCATGTAAACCGTGACATAAGGGTCAGAGGCTCCCATGAAGTCACTTGCCATCAGGTCGCACGCAGAGTGGATCTCCAGCACCAGGATGCCTGACTGACAGACAGACAGACAGACAGACAGACAGAGAGAGACGGCAGATGTGTCGATGTCGAGGAGAATCGATTGCGGCATTCACCTTTCAGCCTGACGGCGGGGTCTTTGAGCATGGGGTGGTATCGCCAGTTGGCGCCCTTGACGAAGGACTCGCACCAGTCCTCTGCCTCACCCTTGCTCTTGCCTGCACGCACACAACAGCATGCACAAGCAGCAAGAGTCACCTGGATGGACGAATGGCCCGCTGACCGACCGGCACGTCTCACTTGCAAATGTGAGTATGTGGACCGTTGAGAAGACTTTCCATTGCCAGTAGCCACCTGATGGCGTCTGCTCCATGTCCATGTACACAGAGCTCTCCGACAAGACCAGCTCACTGGGCGAACCACCCGGATAAGTCCTGAAATGCCGAGACACACACAGCATACACGCACACACAGAGAGAGACAGGCAGTCAGTCGATTCTTCTGGTCCCACTGACTGACCAGCGCAGTATGCCCGGGAAGACCTCCACAAGGTATTCGGAGTAGCCCATCGTGCCGCTCATGTAGGCCGTCCCCCTTTTGATGGCTGAAGCATCGCCACCTATGAGGTACTCCCGGGCCTTCTGGGCCCTGCGCTGCGTCCGCTCGGCATCTTTTCGATTCTCTTTCAGCAGACCGTTGAGCTCCCGGTCAATCTTGTCCAGAGAGATGCTCACGGGAGGGACGGGCAGACCAAGGTCGCCAAAGGAGACGCCCTTGCCGATCTCCTTCTTGTTGGCCGGTGCTGACTCAGGTAAGGCTTTCGCTCCGGTTTGGCTCGCCATGACTTGACCGTCTTTGAGTCCAAGAAGGATCTTCACCTCCTTTGCGGGCTGCGGGCCGGACGATAGGCGGAGATAGGTTGGAAGAGAGCCCTAACGCCATACTGTTGCAGATCTATCCACGAACATGGCGGGGCTGGCGGCAGCAGAAAACGGCATTCCAGGCACCCCGGACGACCATTACACGAAGCCGCGGTGCGCGTTCAGCCTGCAGACACACAATGGAGATGTGCGGGCGGGTCACTGTGCCTATGTTGTCGTGTGCAGGACGGTGCGGACCATCTCTTTGCACCGGCCGTCTCACTACGTCAACGAAGATCCGAGCGGAATTCTTTTCAACAGGCACTTCAACAAGGGCACGGCGTTCTCCATCGATGAGCGAGAGCACCTGCACCTCACTGGCCTCCTTCCGGGTGCGCATGTGCCTGTGCATGCGCCTGGACCAATGGGCGCAGCGCATGGGTCCTACCCTTCTGCATGGCATGGCGGGTGTTGTGTGTGTCTGTGTGTGTGTGTGTCTGTTGATTGTGTATGCTCAGGGAAGACAGAGAGCATTGAGCTGCAGGTTCGGCGGTGCTACCGCCAGTTCAGAAACTTTCAGTCGCCTATGGCCAAATACATCTACCTATCATGTACATACGCAGCGGTCGACGATGACCTGAGGCAGGACGAGGAATGCATTGTGAGTGTCTGTCTGGGTGCTGGTGGGGTGGTTGTCTGTGGGTGTCCAGCGCTCCGGGAGCGATCGGACACGCTGTTCTACAACGTACGTATGCGCCGCACACTCACGTCACCAGGGAGATCGCAGGGCACGTTTGTTGTCCTTTGTCGTGTGTGTGTCAGCTGGTGTTGCAGAATCTGAAGGAGACTCTGCCCATCATCTACACACCCACCGTCGGCCAAGCGTGCCTGGTCAGAATGCACTCCCCTTCACATACACAGACCCACATCTCATCATCAGGCACGTGTGTGTGCTGTGCAGGAGTTTGGTCTCAATTACCGCGCAGCAGAGGGCATGTACTTCGACAGAGACCTGAGGGGCCGCATCAGGGAGGCACTCGACAACTGGAAGCCAAACATGCTCGACGAGGTCGGCATGCACCACACTGTCTGTCGCACACGCACCGAAGATGATATGGGAAGTGCGTGATTTGTCTTGTGCCAGGTGTCCATCATTGTGGTGACTGACGGCTCGCGCATTCTCGGGCTCGGCGATTTGGGCACATGCGGCATGGGCATACCAAGTAAGGCGCTCAAGGAGGGAGGGGGTGAGGGAGGGAGAAATATCGGCAGAAAGGCCCGCTCTCGACCACTCATCCATATCCCTCAGTGCTGTGTTGTGTTGTGTTGTGTTGTTGCTGTGGGTGTCTGTCAGTTGGCAAGCTCTCGCTCTACGTGGCCGCCGCGGGTTTCCACCCGGCCACCACACTCCCGGTCGTCATCGACACGGGCACCAACAACGAGGCGCTGCTCAAGGTACGCATGGCATGACCATGGACACACTCACGAGAGAGAGGGAGGGTTGAAGAAAGAGGCTGCTGCTTATGCGTTCATTGCTAGGACGATTTCTATCTGGGATGTCGCCACGAGCGGCTTGCCAATGAGGAGTATTACCCGCTCGTGGACGAATTCCTGATGGCCTGCGTCAACAAGTGGCCGAACGTGCTCATCCAATTCGAGGACTTCAGCAACGAGTGAGGTCACGAGGGAGGCAGACAGATTGTGACACGACGCCATCCCACCCCTCTCGCTCCCTCTCTTCCTCTGTGTCTCTGTCTCTGTCTGTGTGTGTGTGTGTGTGTCAGCCATGCATTCGACTTGCTGGAAAAGTACCGCCACAAGATACTGTGCTTCAACGACGACATCCAGGGCACCGGAGCGGTGATAGCCGCCGGCTTCCTCAACGCCATGAAGCTCTGCAAGCTGCCAATCGCCAGCCACCGAATCGTCTTCCTTGGAGCGGGCGCAGCTGGTGAGCCACCCCTTTCGCCAAAGACTTTGTGTGTGTGTGTGTGTGTGTGTGAGGGTAGGCATTGGTGTGGCTGACCAGATCTGTGCGCTGCTGAAGCTGAAACACGACATACCCGTCGAGCAGGCCAGGAAGTGAGCGGCAATGAAGAAGGAAGCAGGGGACGGAGGGAGGGAGGGAGGGAGGGATGCGTGTGTGTGAGTTGTCTGTCAGGATGTTCTACATGGTCGACTCGAAGGGCCTGATCACGGCCACGCGTGGTGACAACCTGGCATCCTTCAAGAAGCCATACGCGCGACACGACATCACCGACGTGAGCACTTTTACGCGCACTTTTATGGATGTTTCCCCTCCAGAGGTGTGTGAGTGTGTGTGCAGAGCGTCAAGGATCTGCTGGACGTCGTCAAGAAGGTCCTTCCCACAGGCATCATCGGCCTCTCCGGCCAGGCCAACGCCTTCAACGACGAGATTATTGACCAAATGTGCCAGGTCAGCCCATTGCTGCCAACACCCATCACACGACACGCCTTCATTCATTATCTCTGAGTGTGTGTCTCTGGCTGGCCGTGTGTCAGATCACCGAGCGGCCCATCATCTTCCCCCTCTCCAACCCCACCAAGAACTCAGAGTGCACAGCCGAGCAGGCCTTCCGGATCTCACAGAGCAAGTGCATCTTCGCATCAGGTAGGTCCGTAGTGTGCCACCCCCACCGCCCTTGCCTTGCCTGCTTGTAGGTGTGTGGTGTGGTGTGTTGTGTTGTGTTGTGGTAGGTTCGCCCTTCCCCCCGGTGACTGTTGGCGAGACCGTCTTCCACCCCAGTCAGGGCAACAACATGTACATCTTCCCTGGTCGGTCGGTCGGTCGGTCGGTCGGTCGGGGGCCACACATCAAGGCACATATGTGCCATACAAACATCCATCCCCTTTCATGGCTGTCTGTGTTGGTGTGTTGGTGTGTTGGTGTTGCTGTGGTGTGTTGGTGTTGTCCTCAGGTTTGGGATTCGGTGCGTGGCTGTGCCGCAGCAAGGAGGTGTCTGATGGGATGATTGCCGTCGCGGCAGCGTCGCTGGCCGACCAAGTCTCACAGGTAGATAGATGGGTGGCAGAGTGAGTGGGTCACCACACACAACACACGCCCCTCCACACAGACAGACAGACACACGCATATCATTTGTTTCGTTCAACCGTCGGATTGCCTGTTTGCTGTGTGATGTGTGGGATGGCTGCAGGATGAGCTGGATCGTGGTCAGATCTACCCCCCTCTCGAGAACATCCGCGACATCTCGGCCAAGATTGCCACGGCCGTCATCGAGCAGGCCTTCGCCGAGGGCCACGCGCGCATCCAGAGACCCAAGGACATTCTCACCACCGTCCAGAAGAACATGTATGTCAGCCCGACCACCACATCCACCCTCGTTGCGAGAAACAAGAACCCTCTCTCTCTCTCTCTCTGTGTGTGTGTGTGTGGGCGTGTGTGTGTCTGCAGGTACCAGCCGTCGTACCTTGATTACCAGCCGGCGGTTTCCCTGGACGGCCGCATTCGTCTGGGCAGCGCTGATGTGAGGGACATGCACAGTCCGATTGACGAGGCGGAGATCAACACTCAAGGTAACCACCACCTCGGGCGCCAGAGGCTGGCGGGGGGCGCCTGAGTGAAGGACAGAGAGAGAGAGAGAGAGAGGGACAGAGACAGAGGGAGGAACCTGACGTACACACCACACACGAGGCCTCTTTTTGTCCACCATCTCGATCGACGCCTGTGTCTGGGGCTGGGCTGCACAAGCCGGCAAGTGGGGGGGGGATGACTCGAATACGTGTGTGCGTGTGTGTGTGTGTGTGTGTGCATGGGTGTGCCTGGTGTGTGCGGTGCAGTTTTGCCCTCGTTTCCTGCGCTGCTGTCCTCAGCCAGCAATCGGATGCCCCTGTGCGCTTTCTTGTCCCACCACTGGGAAAGAGCTGCATGCATCCGTGGCCCAATGTTTTTTCATGCGGTCACGCGTCGCGTCGGGGCCTTTTTCCTCTCGTGTGTGGGCCGTCGCCTGGGGATGGTTTGCCGCACCAGACAGACAGAGGCAGAAGCCCGCGCCTGGGCAGGAGACGCCTTCGCGCGTGGCTTCCCTCGCTGACAGGCTCGTCAAACGATCTTTGGGGAAGGTGATCTGCCAATGTGTTGGGATGCGGGCGGGCGGTTTCTGGTGTTTCTGTGGCTGCGGGACGAATGGAGCTTCACACACAAGTGGAAGCATCCACCGCGGAGCCTGTTGCTGTCAGTAACACCAGGGAGATAGATGGACGCTGGGATATGATGGAAGAGACAGACCCACAGGTGAGGTGAGGTGGATGCTGCAGGATTCTGCAGGATTCAACAATAAGCGTCTTGTCTTGTCTGGGTGTATCCGGCGATCGGTTGGAGCATGTAAAGGGTTGAATGATGGGGCCATTCGCACACACACGCAACACACAAGACAGAGAGGGTCAGGTCATCCATGGCATGCAAACCTCACACACGAGACACGAGTGCACGAGTCTAGGTATACAGCAGTCGTCGCACAAGTCATCCGTCCGCCAATCAGGTCTGTCGTGCTCGGCCAAATCAGCCATGGGTCACATGGGGAGCCTCACACACAAACCACACCACACCACACCGCGCCGCGCCGGTCCGTACTGGCCAGTCAGTACTCAAAAAGGAAAGCCACGAGGACGGACGGACGAACGAATGAGTCAGTCAAGCGAGCAACATACAGGGGAAGGTAGGAGAGAACTAGCCATGTGTGCCATCCATGTCTCTCGATGTGATGCCGCTCTCAGGTACTTTTAACCCGAATGCCGACACACAGACCTATCTATCCATCATATCGCGGGCACCACACCACACCACACCATCCGTCAATCCGTCCGTCTATTTCTTCTTCGGTGGAGGCGGCGCAGAGCCCTTCTTCCCCCCACCCCCAGCACCACCACCCCCATACTTCACCACGCCCCCGTTGCGCTTGAGCGACTTGGCCAAGGCCTTGTTTCTCTTCCTCTCCTGCCGCCAGAAGGCGACATGAGCCTGCATGTGCTCGTCTGGGTGCTCGACGCCCGATTTCCTGTGTGTGGCTGGGATGATGGATCCCTTGGGCACGCGCATCTGGCACTGCAGGGTCTTCTCGTTGAGCTTGAAGCCCTCGGCGTGGTCGCAGACGTACTTGGGGGGGTACTTGATGATGATGTAGCACTTGCCCAGCTCGGCGACGTAGATGTAGCCTGTGCGCATACAGGGAGGGCACCACACCACAGAATGAATGAATCAAAAGTGTGTGGGAGCGGTGTCTCGCTCACTTCCGGCGGTGCCAGGCTCGACGTCGGCGCCAGTGCCGTTAACAGCGCCAAGGTCGCCCTTGTGTGAGCCGTGGTGGCTGATGTCCTTGCAGCCGGGGGACGGACAGGGGCAGATGACGTTCTCCGGGTCTTCGCTGAGGTGGTCGTAGCACTTGAATGGGTCGTGAGGGTGCTTCTGGAACTTGTCGGGGCAGTCGATGACCGGCTCTCGGATGTGGTCCTTCTTGCACGCGTCGAACTCCTCCTCGTAATGCCAATGCTGAGTGAGTGACAAGAAGGCACATTCAGTCGGTCTGGCGTGTCCATGGGTGTGATGTGATGTGGGTGTTGCTTGCTTACATCTCTGCAGCCGTCCTCGTCAGGCGACCGCTCGATGATAATCTTCTGCAGGCACTTGCCGCTGTGCAGCTTGTAGGATGGCGGGCAGATCTTAACCGTCTTGCAAACCTTGTTGCCGAACACTTTGGCAGTCTCGCCCAGCCCGGGCTTCGCATCCTTCCCCCGCTTGCGCCCGCCCTTCCCCTTCTTGACGGCCTCGCCCTTCGAGTAACCCGAGTAGTCGCCACCCTTCTTCTGGAGGCGGCGCTCGTCGCCCTCACCATCAAGAGACATGGCCGCGAGATGCTGGTGGTCCGCCGAGCCGTTCCACTTGCCCCCGAACTCATGCAGGGTGCCGAGCTCGTTCTTGACGGGGTGGATGGAGCAGACCTCCTCTGTGGTGGGGTCCATCTTTTTCTCGAGGATGCACAGCCGCCGGCCGTCGTCGGTGTCGCGCTTCTTGAACTGGTTGGAGGGGCACCGCAGGGGAATGAAGTACACCTCGCTCTCCAGGCAGTAGCCCGCCCCTTCGAGGAGCTCCTGCTCGCGCTCCTGGATGCACTCGAGGTCGTCCATGGCGCAGGGCTTCCGCTCTTCATCGGGCACCTTCTTGGGTCGGGAGACGTTCTTGGGCGGCTGTTGAAGCTCCGCGAGGTTGGGGACGTGGTCGAAGTGCCGCTCCATGAAGGGGTGCTTGTGCATACCCCAGGTCGGGAAAGGCTTCTTCAAGAGACTTGTTTCGGGCGGAATGTAAAAGGCGCTGACGAACGAACGAACGAACAGAAAGGCGCAAACAGACAAGGAAGTTGTGTGTGTGTGTGTGCGTGGATGTGATTGCTGCTGTGATTGCTCACTCGTCATCTCTGCACTTGGGCCCTTTCATGGCGTAGACCTTGCCCCTGCACTTCTCGCCGTGCAGCACCGTCCCCTTCGGGCAATCCTGCAACCGACACATCCGTCCGTCAGACATTCCAATCACATGACATCACACCAAGACGACACATCATCGTATTCCCTCCGCCGTCACTCACCGCCGACACAGGGTTAACTCCCGTGCGCCTGTCGATGCCGACACAGAGCCCCTCATCGATGTTGAAGCGGTCGTTATGTTCACAGAATGGAAGGGCCGGCACCTGCACCAGCTCGTACAAGTTGGTGCTGTCCTTATGACCATGGTGGCCACCGCCATGCCCTCCTGATCCCCCGCTGCCGGGCTTCTTGGGAGCAGCGTGCACACTCACGCACAGGAGCACCGCTGCTGCCACGACTCCCACCGAGAGGCGGGCCATCGTTGACGAAAAACTCACGCGCTCAGGCGGGCTTGTGTCAGGACGCCGCTGCGGTGGTGGGGTGGTTTTCCTTGTCGGTCCTCCTTTCTTCCCGATGTCAGGAGGTGCGATTGCGGCAACTTGCTGCGAGCTCAAATCTTTTTACAGTGTGTACGGGGTCAAATATCGCCTAGGGCAGAACCCTAACGGTCGGCTTGCCTTCCTCCTCGCCTCTAGATGAGTGTGTAAGTGTTGCTGAATGCTGAGCAGGACAGCCATGGAGGAAGGCGGCCCGTTTTTCTACTCGTTCAGCTTCGATGGGAACATCCCTGCGCAGCCGAGACGGAAGGAAGTGTGGAAACTGTCATTAACCGTAACACTCGTCTGTGTGTCCGTGATACTCATACAAATACAGATACAGTCCCATCAGCACGCAGACTCAAACAGGCTCAAGGGGAGGAGGGATCTATCCCCGCCCCATCAGCACACCCCAGTCCCGCAAACCCTCCCCTCCCTCCCCCACGCAGACAGAAGCTAGTCGCACGCGCGAGGGCGATAGACAAGCGAGAGCGAATCCATCCAGACACATGACTGAACCCCCGACCCTTCCACCCCTCCTTCTCCAACAGCGCATGAGCCATGTGGGCGATGAACACGTTGGCATCGTGTCCCCACACACCGTCACACGTCACCACCAGAGGGCAGAAGGTCACGCGGGAGTCGCAGACGGCCGAGCGGTATTTCTTCTTCTTGGCGGTCTCGTGCTGCTTCAGGATGGACTTGATTGATGGACTTGATTGTTTTTGTCAGATATCGCATGTGTGCACCTCACCTGCCCCTTCGGACGTTCTTGATGTGGTTGACGCCACTCAGATCCGCAAAAACTCGTGAGGCCTTGCGAGCTAGGAGTGCAGACTAAGATCTCGCAATGAACATTCCCTTCGTGAACTCACTGGTGCGTGATTGGCAGCGGCGGGGCCACATCATACCGTGGGCAGTCATCGTAGCCTTTGGTCAGTGAGCACAGCAACACATCCACACAAACCACATAGATCCCATGCGTTGAATGTGCATCCATCTCGTATGTCAGGTGCTTTCACGGGCATCGGCGGGTTCGCCACTCACATTTGGTATCACAACATCGATGACGCGGCGCTCGACGAGCACAAGAAGTACGTGGCCAACGTGAGGATGATGGACCACAGAGACCGCGAGAGGGAGGCAGCTAAGCAGGGCTGGAAGCAACAGGAGCAGCAACAGCAGCAGCAGCAAACACAAAGTGTGTCAACCGCATGACATGAACAACAATCGTCATGACCCCCTCACAACCGTCTTTCGCCGATGCGTTTGCCTGCCACGAGCATCGCGACGCGGCTGCCCTTTTGCTGGTGGAGAACAGAGGCGCGGACGTGGAGAGATGGACGCACAGACGGATGTGGGCGACCGTCAACAGGGTGAAGGAGCGAATGAAGGTGGAGCTGCTCAGGCTCAGCGAAGGAGGAGGGGATGTGGGGAGCCACGTGAAGCCTGTTGTGCTGTTGGCCATGCCGCGGAGCGTGACCTATGTGGTGGCTCTGATGGCGGCACTCATGACGGGTCAGATTATAGCACAGAGCAGCACACACGTGAATGCATGTGCCACGCCGCCTGCACACCTGTGCCTTGTTGTCTTGTTCATTCAGATGAGTTGCTGGTGTGTCCCATCGACCCATCGCTTCCCCCCTCGGCCGTCAGCTCACTGCTCCAGTCTCTGCACCAGCAGCTGCGCCTGGTCATCACCACGTCGGCCCACATTCCCCTGTGGCAGCGGAGGGTCTCATCCCTCGCCCCCTCTCCCTCACTGCTGTCCATCGACACACTCCTCGGCGCACATTCACATGCACGTCAACAAGCGTCACTGCAAGACGGCAGACAGGAGCGGACAGACGAGTCGGCGGTCCTTCTCTGCACATCCGGGAGCACCGGTGATCCGAAGCTGGTCGTGCTGTCACGTTCGGCGCTTCTCATGCGCGCCCGGTGGGGCATGGATCGGCTCATGGTGGACAGTGCCTCTGTGTACGCACAGCGCACTCCAGTGGGGTTTGTCGACCACGTGGCAGAGATCCTGACGCCACTGCTGGCTGGTGGGTGCGTGGCCATCGCTCCTAGTGGCTTGCACACCGTCGACGTGGGCGCCTTCTGGCAGTGGCTGGCGGACGCAAAGGTGAGAGGAGGCAGGGAGGGGTGGGAAGAGCACGTATGTGTCTTGTATGTATGTATTGTGTATTGTGTCTGGTATTGTCAGGTGACGCACCTGACTGTGGTGCCGACGTTGGTGTCGATGGCGCTGCGGATGGTCGATGAGGAGGACGTTGTGTGGCCGCGGGTGGCAGCGACGCTGCGTCTGGTGGTCTTCTCGGGGGAACCACTGGTGTGGGGCACTGCCATGTGAGCCACCTGACCAAAGCACGACACGGCCCTTTTCCGCTCATCATTGGTGCGCTGTTGCGTCTGTATGCAGAGGGCTGTGGGAGCGCCTCCCGACTGTGGCTCTCTTCAATCTGTACGGCCTTACCGAGACGACTGGCGACATCCTCTGCTTCCCACTGCCCTTCCCCGAACATCCTTTAGCGCCCCCACACCCCGCCACACCCGTCCCCCTCGGTTGGCCACTCACATCCGATTGCCTGACATTCGTCGCATCAGAGGGTTGTCTGCCCGCCAGGGGCACCGACGCGAGACGGCAGGCAGCGTGTGGGTGGGTCAATGGTCCGCCTGAGGTGGAGCAACGGTCTGCGGCTGGTGTGGAGGTCTCAGCTGATGTGACGCGCGAAGGCGAGCTGGTCGCGGGCGGACCGTTGCTGGCGGTGGGCTACTGGGGGCCGATCGGTGGATGCAGTGATGAGACACGAGAGGCATTTGTGACGGCCAAGGTGGGCGACGGCGAGACGAGAAGGGTGCTGTGTACGGGTGATGTTGTGGAGAGGGACTCTGACGGATGCTTTCACTTCAAGGTGACCTTACACACACACATTCGGACCCTTGAACTCGGCCACAAGAATGAGTGTGCTCGCTTCAGGGCAGAGTCGACCGCAGCATCAAGATTGGCGGCGTCTTTGTCTCGCTGGACGCCACCGAGCGGCAGATCCTCTCGCTTCAGACCGCTGCCGACGTGTCCATCACCGAAGCGAGAGTCTGCACCATGTCGGACCTCCAGCAATCCACCATACGAAGCAAACCGTCTGACAGCAGCCTTGTAGCCTTTGTGGCCACCCTACCGCCTCCTGGGGAGCTTTCCGACAACCAGCGTGACGCTGTGATGCAGTTAATTAGGAGGGCGGCCAGCAGCGGTGGCGGCGGGGTGATTGATGTGGTTCTCGTAGAGTCATTGCCGCGAAACGCGCGCAACATGAAGGTAGGACAGTCAGGGGAACCGACACGAACACACACGGTGGAGCCGCCTTTTTGTTCTGTTCAGGTGTCGATGGAAGGGCTGGCGGATGTGTGCGTGAAGCGACAGACGACCGCTGATGTGCAGGGAATCCCCTCTGCGACAACACCACCATCATCGGATGACTTTGTGGAGGTTGTGCTGGCCGTCTGCCGTGGTGTCACCGGAGGGGCCGCCATCCGACCTGATGACGACCTCCGAGAATGGGGGTGGGACTCCCTCACGGTAAGAAAAGAAGAGAAGAGCGGCCACCCAACGCGTCTCTATGTTCGTTATCCGAGTTTTCTCAGCTTGCCAACTTGGCCTTCAGCCTGAATCGATGCCTGTCAGACCGCCAGGATGGCCCACAGGTGTCGATCGCCGACTTGCTGGCCCTCTATCTCCCAGCCGCGCCACAACCACAGCCACATCCACCACAACCCCTCACACCCCGCACCATCGCAGAGCGACTTCTGTTGCCGAGGCAACAACAACTGGCGCATCACAACACAGACACAGACACAGCTCAGCGCAGTGGTGCTTATGCGAGGCCCGTCGGCGACCAGAATGGGCGGCTTCCCGTGCATATGAATGTGGAGAGCGGCGCGACGGCAAAGCTGGAGTGGAGTGTGTACTTGGAGAGCTGTGTGGATGCTCCCTGTGCGGTCGTGACGGCATCGCAGCTGTCAGCAGCAGGAGTCTATCAGACACCCTCAATGGACCGGCTGTTCGGGTGTGGGTGGGCAGTGTATGCCGGCAGCCACAGTGGCGTCCTGGCGGCCATCAGTTGCAGCTCCGGAGAGGCCATCTGGACACGCCGCCTGTCGGGCCGCATCGTCTCGCAGCCGCTCGCCTTCACCCTTACCGACGCACCTCGGTCGCCATCTCGACTCGGCCTGCTCGTCTCAACGTATGACGGCTCCGTCGTCTGTCTGGATGGCCTCACTGGCGAGCTCTGGTGGGTCACTCAGCTGGCCGGCCATATCAAGGCCTCGCCGCGCATTCTTGACGGCACCATTGTCGCGGCGACATACGACGGCGCTCTCGAGCTGATCGACGCAGACGCAGGCGCATTGCTACATCGATTCCAGCCGTCTGGTTTGGTGCAGCAGTCTGATGAAGGCAGCGGGCAGCCGGCAAAAAGGCGGAAACGCAACACAGAGGGAAAGTCCTCAGCGGCTGTGCCTTTGGGTGGGTTTTCGGACGCCCCTGAGGTCGACCAAGAGACGAAGCGCATGTATGTGGCGACGCTGGGCGGCTGGGTGGCGCGCATCGATCTGCTATCGACCAGTGACGAAGGGCGGCAGCAAGTACGGATGGCGCAGCGATGGGCCCGACAGCTGGATGGCCCGTGCTTTGCGCGGCCCCTTTTGTGTCGGTCGGCAAGTGGAGGGCTCCTGCTGGTGGTATGCACGGGTGGCGGCTCGGTCTACGGTGTGGCTGAAGCCGATGGCGAGCTTATGTGGCGAACCACCGTCCCTCTGCCACCCTCAACGGACGAGTCAACAGCCATTCTGCCTGCCATCTTCGCGTCGCCTGTGAGTCCACTGCTCAGTAGTGACGGCAGATCTGCCGCCATAATCTGTGCACGGGACGGCTCCCTCCACCGCGTCGACGTCGGCAGCGGTGCTGTGGGGCCGTGTGGGCGCCTGCAGGGCGGCCGTCTGCTCAGCCACAACGTGAAGGCCGTCACTCTCGGCGAAGGGGGGCGTTTGGGGGTGGTTGCTTGCGCGGAGGGGGGATGGGTGGGGGTGTTTGATGTGGTGGGATGCCGGTCGGCCTGGCACGTTTTTCTGCCTTCGTTCTTTAGTGGTGCTGCTGAGAGCACTGAGGTCAGTGAGGTGGATGTGTATGAGAGCTACTCGGGAGGGGAGGTGGTGAGTGTCGAGAGTGCACCAGGCAGGCCGTGTGTGTCTCGTGTTTTGCTGGGGTGTCGGGACAACTGCCTGCATTGCTTTCGATGCACGTGAGTGATATGCTCATCTCAAGCGGTGAAAAAGACTCGAGAATTGTCTGCACAGGCCCTTTTGGTCTGACCGTATGCGTCGCCGCACACACACCAAGACAACTGCCCCATGCACAGCGGCTGTGCTTGCAAGGGGCAGCTGTCGATGGTCGATGCTGTCGGCTACGGGTACGGGACAACCATGGCAGGCACCACACACATCGATAAAGGCAGCAACATGGCCGTCGAAAACCCACAGACATGGCGACTGACGGCTCGAATAAAGAGAGACTGACAGAGATGACAGCACTAGCTACCACTCGCTTTCTCTGCGGTCGGTCTGTGGATCACCGCACCGTCCGGAATGCTCCACTGTGCAGTCCATTCTCATGGCTGCAATGAGGGCATTACGGGTGGTGAGAGTAGTCACAGACCTAGAAGAGGAGAAAGCGCTTCATCGAACGGACGACCACCACGCGACAGTCAGCTGACTTGACTGGCCTCACTGTACACGACAGCCGCTTGCACATGGACGCACTTGAAAAACGTCACTAACTGACGAATGAACGAGCGAATGCAGCGAGAGAGCAAAAGACTCTATACACCCCACACCCACACATACTTACACAGGCACGCACACTAATGGACTACGACACACACACACACACACATGGCACTCGCTACCAGAAGCCGTATCTGAGGGGAATGACGCCGATGCCCTGCACGTCGTTTCTGTACTTGTCTCTCAGCGTGTAGCCCGCGTCCACCCGACTGCGGCCTCGGGGCGCCCTCTTGCACTGCGCTGTGTGGGTGTTGTAGTAGTACAGATCTGAAACAAGACAAAGGCAGACACCCACACATAGAAGAAATGTGGAGTGGCGTCTTTGTCTGAGCATCTTACTTTCGCATGGCACTTGGGCGTTGCTGCCGCCTGCAGCAGACAAGGCAGAGCCACGAACCACACCGGGCACATCAATGGGACCCTCTCTCAGTCATGGAGCCATGCACGGCACAACCCACCTGTGCCAAAAGCGTAGTATGAGTCGAGGACGTTAGCCTGCGCAAGAGGGAGGGGCAGGTACGCCTCGTCGTCGGGCACCGCGGGCAGCCAGGGGCGCGAATTGCGGTAACGCGCATTCAACCCAACTGCAGATGGACACGCAGACACATGGCGACAAGAGCAACCAAGGCAATCCTGACGCGTGTATGCTGACCTCGCGCGCTGCCACATCCCGTCAGGGCGCAGCCCAATGCCTTGGTGCCGCCTGTGCTACCAGAAGTCTGCACCCAACCAATCGCCCGGGATACACACACGCGTGAGAGAGCAGAAGTATGTCTGTTGGTGTGTGTGTGTGTGTGTCTGGCTGTGTACCGATTGCAGCCTCCTCTCCTCCGCTGGCACGACAGTGATCTCCTTGGCCAAGACGCCTTTAGAGTCGTACAGCTGCAGACCATCTGCACAAATACACACACATAGGTGGAGGGTGGAGGGGAACGAACGAAAGGGACGGAGGCGATTCCTACTTACCTTTGTTGAGCGTCATCTCCCATCCGCCGCCCAGATAGACGCGAACAGTGCCGTTGGGGTACCGAAACATCGACTCAATCGGAGCATAAAACTGACAGTATCACACACACACGCACACATACACGCACAGAGCGCACATGAGCACCAACGCCCTCCCGGCGAGGTGAGTGCGCCGCACCTCGCTTGAATCGTTGAACTTGAGGTGAATGCTCTCGTATATGCTGACGCCTGCCCCGTCGAGGGCATACAGATCGGACATACCTACGTGAGCGTAGTAGAGGCCTGAATGAATGGGCGTGCCGAGGCCGTCGGCACTCCGAAGGACGCCATCGGTCTGGTTCACCCTGACTGCAGCCCACACACAGGTGGCACAGATCTAGCGATGAGAACGCATAGCCACTTCACCCTGTGCGCTCGCGGATGCGATGAATGAGGTGAAAGCGCAGAGCAGACAGAGGAAAGCATATGAGGCCATCACGGATGTATGCTTAGAGGTCCAAGCTCTGATCTCCGCCTTGGAGGGGGACGCT